ATGATGGAAGGTGTAGGTGAAGGGGATGTTATTGATGATGGAGATAGAGAAAGAGAAGATAATAAAGGAGAGATAAAGGAGGGAAGACTAGTGTATTGAGTCGTATTTGGTGGTGGTTGGTGGATAGAGAGAGAGAGAGAGAGAGAGAGAGAGGTTAAAATAATAAGAGGAAGAAGAGGGGACCGGAGGAAGTAGGAAGGGAGGTTAGAAAATAAGAGAAAATAGGAAAGGGGAGAGAAGAGAAGGGGAGAGAAGACAAGAAGAGAAAGATTACCAACCCTAGTTTGTGAAGGAGATGAGAAAGAGGGAATAAGTAGCAGACGAGAGAGAGAGAGAGAGATATATATTGATATAGTTCAGAATGAGAAGAGAGAAGATAGGGGGAACTAAATAACAATAAATAAATAAATAAATAAACAGGAAGAATTCATCGAATCCCTACTATATTTACCGTGTCCTTATCAATAAAAAACAAACATTACAAACATATTTTTAAAACCCTTATCAATTAACGAAGGGGAATGACATAACAACCTGACCGCTATAATACGTATGGATAACGCTACGACTCTATATCTTGCCACGAGTAAAAGTTTGTTCGTGTAAAAGGGATACACTTCACTAATGGATCTTTTGTATGTGTTTGTATGTGAAGTTTGTTTTGGTTAACTGTATTAGAAACGTCAGGGCTTTATTACTCTTGGGGATGACTTGACAAACATATGTATTTTAGGGGTTCTTTGAGTGAGACGTGTGTGTGTGTGTGTGTTTAAGTAGACTGAGAGAGAGAGATAGCTGTACACACGCAATTACAGACAAAATAAGAAAGGAGAAACACACACACACGCACGCACACACACACACACGCACACACACACACACACACACACACACACATACACAAGGGTACATCTGCCACAGTAATTGTTAGGAGAAAAAACAATTACTTTACTGGTCGTTTGTTGATACGATGACCGCCATTCACCTGTCTTCCCCCGTCTGTCTGTCTGTCACACTAAGCATAAAAGCTTCCACTGCCACCACTGTACCTCGATAAAGACAGATATTTCCCCTGCCAGGTAAAAATATATATTACAAACCTTTAAAATATTCCAATAAAAATATTTTGGAATTCAGCGACAAACTTTTAATTATTATCGTGTTAAATATTATATTATTTAAGTGAAGATAAAAATAATAAATTTTTATTTTATTTTGTATTTGTGATTAATATTCGAGGATCCCAGTGAGAAGAACGATATGTTTCAGAATGTTTCGTGTTGTGGTAAAGAATAATTCACATAAACACTTCAATTAGTTGTTTTGGTTATAGTTTGTTGAATGTGATTTTGTGCCAGCCTTTACTGCATAATGAGAGTGAGAGAGAGAGAGAGAGAGAGAGAGAGAGAGAGAGAGAGAGAGAGAGAGAGAGAGCAATGTAATTTTGTTCGTCTCCTAAGTCAATCAGAATCTAAGACAGACACACACACACACACACACACACACACACACACACACACAAACACACACACACAGAAAAGGGAGAAGGTGAAGAGACAGGTAATTTAAAAAGATTCTCTAGGCTATTTACCTGAAGATTTAATGCAGGTTAATTACGGGTTTAATGAGGTAATCTAATGGCTTGTGAATCATGTTATCATGTTCTTTATCTTCTGTCTGTCTGTCTGTCTATCTGTCCTTCATTCTATTATCATCTTGTTCCTCTCTGTCTATCTGTTTTTGTCTGTCTGTCTCTCTGTCTGTCAGCCAGTCTCTTTATTTCCGTGTCTGTCTGATTGTCGTTCTGTCTCTCTGTCTGTCGTTCTGTCTCTTTATCTGTTTGTCTCCTTATCTCTGTCTGTCTGTCTCTGTCAATCTGTAAGTATCTCTGTCTCTTTGCCTGTCTTTCTCTCTCCCTCTCTCTCCACCACCTTATCATCATCTACTATTATATTGCCATTTATCCCACTCACCTCTACTCCCCACTTCCACCCCACTCACCTCTCCTCAATTATCCCTTCAATTTCCTCTTCTCCAGTCTTTCTATGCACTGTATTTATTGCTCTCTTTCCCTTCTCCCTTTTCCCTGTTTTCTGTTCATTATTTCTTTGGTTTTAGGTATTTTTTTTATTTTTTTTATTTCATCTTTATTTCATTCGTGTTTTATTGTTATTATTATTGTCTTGTTTATCATATTTATTCATGTTATTTCTTTTATTTTGATTATTCCTGTTCTATAGTTCATATAGTGTAATTTTATAAGGTTATTCTTTTAACAGACAGACAGACAGACAGACAGACAGACTAACTGTAGGTAGATATAATCAATTATTTTACGTGTCGCTTGTTGATAATGTGACCGTCAATCACCTGTCTTTCACTGTCTGTCTATCAGCCTTCACTCTTCTCTCTCACTCTCATTCTATATATATTGAAGATTCTCTCTCCCTCTCTTCGTATCTCTACATCTCTCTCTCTTTTATCTCTGTCTCATCCTCTCTAACCTGACCTAACACAATTATTCTCCCTAACTCATGGAAAGACGAATTTGAAGAGACAGTAGAAAGAATGAGGACTATTTTATATTTTTTCTCTCTCTTTTTCTTTCTCTATACATAATCTCCCTCTTCTCCCTCTCTCTCTCTCTTTCTTTCTATACAGCATACCTCTTTCTCTCTATTCCTCTCTCTTTCTCTTTATATATCCCTTTCTCTTTCTCTCTTTTACATCCCACTCTCTTTCTCCCTCTTTCTTTTACAATATCCCTCTCTCTCCTTCTCTCTCTCTCTCTCTCCTCTTTCCCTCACTTTCTCTCGTGGCTTTCTGTTTGTGTTTGCTCACCTCGTCCTTGCTTCCCTCTGAGGTAAATGATGAAAATATCCTCATATATAATTAATAATGTTCAGAGGATCAAAGGTGAGCCAAGTCTGGTGCTGGTGAGAGACGCAAGGTAATTCTGAAGCTAAACTTATCCAAACTTAACCTAACCTAACTTAACCTAAACTAATCTAACTTAACCTAATCTAAACAAATTTAACCCAACCTAATCTAACCTGATCTAACTTATCATAACCTAATTTAACCTAAACTAACCTAACCTAACCAAACGCACCCTAGTCTAACTTACTCGAATTTAAGTCACTTAAACCTAATAAAACTAAATCTATCTTAATCTAACCTAACTTCACCTAACTTAAAACCAACATTAATTTAACCTGACCTAAACACACTTTCATCAGTCTAAACTTTGGTGGGTAAGTTTATGGACGAAAAAAAGTTGAACGTCCCTTACAAAGTCTTTAATTATCCATTATGGCTAATCTTGCTTAATCTCTCACAGATTTATTGAGGGGAATTTTTACCTGTAAGAGAGTAAGATACGGGAACCAGTTACAAACCTTCACACAGACCCAATTGACTCGACTCTCATTATACGGACTTTGGAGATTCTATTCTTATATTATTACCCAAGTGCATGGCTTTAATTAGTAAACTCCTCGGTTATAACGATACTGTATAACGAAATTCGGTTATAACGGACACTATATAACATAATTCGGTTATAACGGACACTTATAACATAATTCGGTTATAACGGACACTATATAACATAATTCGGTTAAAACGGACACTATATAACATAATTCGGTTAAAACGGACAACCCATCAATCGAGTTTATGAGGGTTTAAGATTTAGATGGATGAGTATGATAGTGGCAGTCTTACACACACACACACACACACACACACACACACACACACACACACACACACACACACACACATCATTTTCCTCGTCCTGAGAACATTATGACACTGTGCCTCGTTTACTTACCTACCAAGACTTCATTTGCTAAAAGCTTTTTGGGGGGGGGGGGAACTCATTTAATAGTTAAGAAAATACTGACAAAGCCTCTTAAGAACTCAACTCACTTCTTTATCATGTTATTACGGTGGTGAATCTCAAGCTCAGTGGCGTCTTGATCCATACTGACTTAACTGGCTTTATGCTCTCAACATTTGGTCTTTTGATGCTGGAATTACTCCCTGACGGTGAGAGAGAGAGAGAGAGAGAGAGAGAGAGAGAGAGAGAGAGAGAGAGAGAGAGAGATCGTCGTAAAAGGCAGATTAACAGACAGACGGAAGAAATAGCCAGAGAAAAACAGATAAAATGAAAACAAAAGCCGAGCGAATCAGTCAATACAACCCAGAAGACTCAAATAATAAACAAAACAAAAAAACATAATAAAAACTAAACACATACAGGTAGTAGAATTAACACCTGTAAATTTTTAAGTGGTAACTGTCAATTAACGGAGAGCACAGGTACGTCACTGCCCAGGTAAGTCATACAATCACTTTTATTGGAAAATATATTTATATCATCATACAAATACGGACATTAGGACATTAGTATACAAGGTGTATTTTATGTATTTTACTGTATAGCCGCTTCTACTCACCATAAACTTGTGTATGATGCATCACTAATTTATCCACTTTCTCTCGGTAAACTATGGTTAATGAGGAGATTCTTATATACAGGTAAGATAGACAGGTGAGAGGAGTCAGGTTGTTATTGTTAGATCTCCGTGTTGACTCTAATGATCTCGGTTTTAAGAATCTATTTTTCTCGTGAATGAAACGTGTTACGAGTAATCTGTCATATGAAGCAATTTGTAAAAAGCCTGTGAATATCGTTTGTGTTATGAAATATTACAGGAATGACAAGTGATATGATGTTCAAATCGATTGTGATTTTTTCTTCGGGATAAATATTAAACCATGTGAGTTAGTTTAGGTTAGGTTATGATAGATTGGTTAGGTTAATGCAGGTAAGGTTAGGTTAGGTTAGGTTATGATAGATTGGTTAGGTTAATGCAGGTAAGGTTAGGTTAGGTTAGGTTATGATAGATTGGTCAGGTTAATGCAGGTAAGGTTAGGTTAGGTTAGGTTATGATAGATTGGTCAGGTTAATGCAGGTAAGGTTAGGTTAGGTTAGGTTATGATAGATTGGTCAGGTTAATGCAGGTAAGGTTAGGTTAGGCTAGGTTATGATATATTGGTCAGGTTAATGCAGGTAAGGTTAGGTTAGTTTTGGTGTTAAGATTAATCGCATTACCACAAATCATAGTTGAATGATTTAATCTATCGTAACTTAACACAGTCTTACGTAATCTAACATAACCACACCACACCACACCACACCACACCATACCACCATACATGTAATATTTTAGGAAACCGGACATTACCTAAGGCATTTTTACAAATTGCCGGCAACATATATATACAATATGGAACCTTTTCCCGAGGACTTTACAAATTTCCTGCAGTATATTAGCGAATTCTAAGGACGAAAATATTACGACGAGTAAAACGAAACGAATAACCAATAATCACCTTGTGTCCCCTGATGCTCGACTAAAGCGTTCACCATAACAATTATTTTCTCTTCGTTTGAGAACATAAGAAGGCAACATTGATGTTGAACCAACCATCAACACTCGCCCCCGGCACCAGTAAGTAACTCACCCAGATGGACATACAGTATAGCAGTCGCTCTTTATTTCAATATTTACATCACCAACTTGATACTGAAGAAATCGCTACCGCTACACATTAGTCACCCACTGTACTGCTGAGGTCGCCCCTGTGTCAGCTTAACCCATGACATGATCCTACTCAGGTCTCCGTGTTCTCTCGATCTATGCTGTAACGCTATTAATGCCGCTAGTGTATCACGGAGAAAGACACACTGTTCATTAATTCTTTTCCCAGGAGGGTCTCAGGCAGGTAACCACAAGCTACAAACAACACTACTAACAAGAAGAAATGTTACTTATAGTCTGTTAAGAAATTCAGATCCTCGATGAATATCACGGATCACCTGGAGTGCCTAAACGGTGATAAGTGCCACGAGGGAGGACAGAAGAGCCATGATGAGGTGGCACTGCACCTCGTTGGCGCTGGCCTTTTGCATGGCCGCCGGAGTCTCACCTGGGAAAAAAAATGTTGGTTTATTCTTCGATAACTTGGCTGTTTCTCGTATGTGTGTGTGTGTGTGTGTGTGTGTGTGTGTGTGTGTGTGTGTGTGTGTGTGTGTGTGTGTAATATGCAGTATATTTCATTTAACTATGAATAAATATGATTGTATACAAATGTTGTTCATATGACATAGATGAATTACCCGTGTGACTGAATGACTTAACTGTGACTTAATGACTTTCCTGTATAACGTAACGACTAACTTAGTGACTTACCGGTAATAATATGAAGAGAGACAGAAGCAGGGCGGGCATTGGAGGGCATGCAGGTGTAGTTACCGCTGTCACCTTTAGTCACCTGTGAGATCCTTAACGCACTCTGTTCAGGACCGTTCACCACCGTTATCTGTAGGGAGAACCTCTGTTTACTTCCTCGTCAGTCCATTTATCTACCTTCCTCACCTACCTTTCCTCCTCCCTACCCGGTACATAATATTCCTGCCAACGTAATCTACTCCATCGGGTTTCTGGTAAAAGTTCTCTTCACTCCAATGGTCATATTTGTCTTTCAAGTGTTGTATTTCTCTTATTTACTCATATTTGTTATGTTGTGACGCTGGAACTAATAGTTAAAGTCGCTGTCATAGTTTTGGGGGTGGGATCATGGTCTCTGTGGTTGGGTGTGAGTTGTAAATAATGGTTACTCTAAGAACCCTGATGAACAACCATGTCAACAGTCACTTACCCGGGCGTTGTCGTCGTAGTTGACCATGTGGTGGGCGTGGTACCAGAAGATGTAGGTGGGCGGCTCCGTGAAGTGTTTGAGGGTGCAGGTAAGCTGGACGGAGCTGCCACTTTGGACATATATCTCAGACCCGCCCACGATCTCCGCCACGGCCGCTGATGACAACAAACACATATATACTGAGAGATGTTTAACTACCTACCACATATTATCAACCAAGGTATAACATGTCCTGTGAAACCTCCCTTTAACGGACTTATGAGTTGACAGGTCGTTATTTCGAGGTACTTTGGATGTGAAACCTCCATTTAACGGGCAGCAAATTACAACAAAACTCAACACAATGTTCCAGAAACTTGGTGTTATTCCTGGAACTTTATAATTACCTTCTGGAATTCTGGAACATTATCATCAGCTTCTGGAACCTTATTATCAGCTCGGATCATTACTCCCAATGACTGGAACCTTATCATCACATTTTGGACTCAACTGTGTACTTATGTTAGTGACTCACCGATGATATTAAGCGAGGTGAAGACGCCTATGGGTGGGTGGGCTGACAGCTGACACTCGTAGACCCCAGCGTCATGCAGTTGGGCGTAGTGCAAGTGTAGGGTCCAGTCCTGAGCACGCACACACACACACACACACACACATACACATACACACACACACACACACACACACACACACACAGAAGGAAAAATGGAAAAGAATCAATAAAACACATAAATTGATAATAAAATGTAAAATAGTTTAACCATTAGAAAATTTCAATCATCACTCAAATTTTGCTTACAAAATAATCTGATGACCTTTGACCTCTTGACCGATAGTAAATAGGTCATGAAAAAAACATCCAGCCGTAGACATTGACCCCGTGAATATCTTTGTGTAAATACTTCGTCGATATCTTATCTGGGTTACCTGCACTTACCTGGGTGTGGTCAGAGTGGGTCACCTGGAAGCGCTCGTCGTTGGAGTAGATTTTGTCACCTACGGTAATTAGGTGATGGTCCTTCCGCCTGATCCAAGACACCTGTCGACACATAACGTAATAATCACCTCACTACCTTAATTAATACTCAGGTGAACCCATTAATATATATACATGATAACCTTAATAATGTGATAAATGTCAAGTATTATGAACTGAAGGAAAGACAGGCAGACAGACAGAGAGACAGACAAATAGACAGACAGACAGACAGAAAGACAGACAGATAGAGACAACAGCTTATACCCCATTACTCATTTTTTCCCAACGAATAATAAGTTTATTGGTTATATTTCTCTCAACTGACCTTAAACATAGCTGACCTTAAACATAGCTGACCTTAAACATAGCTGACCTTAAACATAGCTGACCTTAAACATAGCTGACCTTAAACACAACTGACCTTAAACATAGCTGACCTTAAACATAGCTGACCTTAAACATAGCTGACCTTAAACATAGCTGACCCTAAGCACAGCTGACCTTAAACATATCTGACCTTAAAAATAGCTGACCTTAAACACAACTGACCTTAAACATAACTGACCTTAAACATAGCTTACCTAAACCATAGCTGACCTTAAACACAACTATCCTTAAACATAGCTGACCTTAAACATAACTGACCTGTAACACTACAATTCGAAAAAAAATATCAAACAATTATATTCAGGTCTACATATGAGGCCAACACCAGCTTTTAGTTTTATGAGCCAGAGTCTATTAACCTGGGCTTTTTAATTAACTTGTGTCACCTGGTATCGAAATATTTACCCAAATATTTTCGTTGTTTAGAAGTAAATCTATTGATGACTTTTAACTCTTAATTGAATGAGTATTAAAGTTTTTCTTAAATCTGATTGATGAAAATTGGTTATTACAAGTGTGTGTGTGTGTGTGTGTGTGTGTGTGTGTGTGTGTGTGTGTGATGGTTGGCTCACTAGGCAAAGAGATCAATCACTCACGGCTTCAACAGTGACTGGCTCAATAACTCACACGAGGTAACTGACTCAAGAACCCCATTCAACATTAGGTAGGTGACTCAATAACTCACACCAGAGACTAAATAACTCCCAATAACTCACATCAGAGACTAAATAACTCCCCAATAACACACACCAGCGTCTAAATAACTCCCAATAACTCACATCAGAGACTAAATAACTCCCAATAACTCACACCAGAGACTAAATAACTTCCCAATAACACACACCAGCGTCTAAATAACTCCCAATAACTCACATCAGAGACTAAATAACTCCCCAATAACACACACACCAGCGTCTAAATAACTCCCAATAACTCACATCAGAGACTAAATAACTTCCTAATAACACACAGCGTTTCAAATAACTCCCAATAACTCACGCCAGTTCAAATAACTCCCAATAACTCACATCAGAGACTAAATAACTCCCAATAACTCACACCAGAGACTAAATAACTTCCCAATAACACACACCAGTAAATAACTCCCACACACACCAGAAATAACTCCCAATAACTCACACCAGAGACTAAATAACTCCCAATAACTCACATCAGAGACTAAATAACTCCCCAATAACACACACCAGCGTCTAAATAACTCCCAATAACTCACATCAGAGACTAAATAACTCCCAATAACTCACACCAGAGACTAAATAACTTCCCAATAACACACACCAGCGTCTAAATAACTCCCAATAACTCACATCAGAGACTAAATAACTCCCCAATAACACACACACCAGCGTCTAAATAACTCACCGTTTCATGCTCGGCCACATCAAACACCTGACAGCGAAGAGCGGCGGTGGTGCCAAGCTGGACGTTGATCACGGTGTTATTACCCGTCATGAAGTAAGCATTGGTGTCCCTTACCGGTGCCTCCTCCTCGTATTCCCCCAGCAGTAGGTGAGTCTCCGGCGTCCACACTCCTGAAGCTATACACCGGGAGAGGTAGGATTTAGTGATACAGTTACCACACCAGGTGATTATATTAAACCCTATTGTATTTCCGTCAAGTAAAGCCTATTGTATTCCTGTCAATAACTGAAGCCTTTTGTATTTCCGTCAAGTAAAGCCTATTGTATTCCTGTTAATAACTGAAGCCTTTTGTACTCCTGTCAAAACTAAAACATATTGTATTTCTGTCAACTAAACCCTATTGTATTTCCGTCAACAACTAAAGTCATTTCTGTCAATAGCTAAACCCTATTGTATTCCTATTAATAATAAAAGCCTATTGTATTTCCGTCAATACACGAGAGACATGAAAACTACAAAGCAAACATCATTCTAATCAGTCGAGTGATTATGATCCTTCACATCACACACGCTGCATCAAGCTTTTGTCCACAACCACCTCTAAATGTACATTAATCTAGTCCTGTTTCTATCTCCTTCTCTATTTACCTCCTATGATATATTTTTAATCATTTACAAAGTATTATTTTGAAAGTTATAGTGAAATCTCCTTCTATCGGACATATATGGTGAGATAAGTCCGCTAAAACCGAGAATCCGTTAAATGGAAGTTTTTTTTTGTACCGGAGTTATGAAGAAAGGCAAACACATCGCCTAAATTCTTATTCTAAAAGACGAAGTCATTATTTCTTCCCAAGTTTAGATGCGAGAGAAGAAAATATTACCGTAATTTTGACACCGTTTTGCCCCGGTTATTTTGTGTAGTTTCTTTACAACGAAGCGAGAAAAAAATTGCAGCGTAAAATTCATGAAAATTTAGGAAAAGCTGAGACGATGTAATTTAAGTCATGATATATATATGTTACAGGAAACTTATTATGTAAATGTGTTAGTTTAGATGGTAATTTCAGTCTTTCTATCTTTCTTTTTTTTAGATTTATTTCATTATCCTTTCATTTATCTCAATTCTATTCTATGTCAGTGTTAAATTATACCATAGTTGTCTTTGTTTTTCTTCTTATTATGTATTTTCTCGTTTAGTTTCGCTTTTCTGCTGTTTCTCATTTGCCTTGTATTCGATTACACATCTCCCTCTCGTGTTTGCATCTTACCCCATTCATTCATCTCCCCTATCTCCTCCTTTTTTATCACTGTCTCCTAACCTAATGAGTTAATTTCCTCCTCTTTAGTTATTTTTTTTTCATTGGCTAATTGGTCCATCCACTTGAGGTGAATCTATCCCGTCCTGGTCTGTCTGTCTGTCTGGCTGTCTGTCTCGCTCTTTCTGACATTCATTGCCCCATCCTACAGGTCTGTCTGCCTCGCTCTCATTCATTACCCCAAACGAGTTACTACGCTATAAAACAAACTCACTACACACTTACAGGAATAATCTCTGCACACTTAAAAACATGACATTTAAAAGCATCAAGTGAGACCCCTCTCATTAAAACAAGATTACTCCACTACGTCTCAAACAACTCTATTTAAGTTTTTTTTTTTTACACCATTAAGTTTACGACCATTAATTTACTCACAAGATACTCTAACATCTTCAACCAATTACACATTTAACGTGGCAGTGAGAGCTGGATAACACGGACGAAGAATATAGAACCATTGGAGGTAATTATACTGACACTCCTTTGAGATTCTAGATGTATTAACAGCATAAATACAAGTAAAACCTCACGTATGCAGGTACTGATTGAGATAGAGATGCAGGTAAAGGTACAATTAATTAAGGATACAATTACAGGTAAGAGTACAGAAAGAAGCACAGGAATGGATACGACTGAGAGAGAGAGAGAGAGAGAGAGAGAGAGAGAGAGAGAGGAGAGAGAGAGAGAGAGAGAGAGAGAGAGAGAGAGAGAGAGAGAGAGGAGAGACTCACCCATGTTATACCCAGACCTGGAGATGTCATCAGTCGGGGTCATCCTCCCAGGCCAATCAGTTCTGTTTCTGCCGTCTCTCTGTGGACACACCAGAGACTGTGGGTGCTGAGGTGAGGTGAGGACGAGAGGTGAGGGATGAGAGTGAGGGATGCGAGAGGTAAAATGAGAGGTGAGGGGGTGAGAGATGAGAGGTGAGAGATGAGAGGTGAGAGATGAGAGGTGAGGGATGAGAGGTGAGGGATGAGAGGTAAGAGATGAGAGGTGAGAGATGAGAGGTGAGAGATGAGAGGTGAGGGATGAGAGGTGAGGGATGAGAGGTAAGAGATGAGAGGTGAGAGATGAGAGGTGAGGGATGAGAGGGAAGAGATGAGGGGAGGTGAAGGATGAGAGGGGAGGTGAGGGATGAGAAGTGGAGGATGAGAGAGGTAAAATGAGGTGAGGGTGAGAGGTGATGGATGAGGTGTATGATTTACGTGGAAAGGTGAAGGCATGGTGTGTGTGTGTGTGTGTGTGTGTGTGTGTGTGTGTGTGTGTGTGTGTGTGTGTGTGTGTGTGTGTGTGAGATTATCTCCTCTCCCTTCCTCTCCCTTCCCCCATCTCCCTCCCTCTAATCTCCCTACTTTTCCTTTAAATTAAAAAAACTTAAATTAGGGCCCAACTCAAAACACATTTCAAGTTCCTGCCAGAGTCTAATGTTCGTAGCATAAAGGCGCCAGTGCCGGCAACAGGCAGGCGAACGTTCGTCTGGCGTTACTGTGTTGGTAGGGAGATAAATGATAATGGCGGTGACATGAGATATTATAGTTATTATCACACACACACACACACACACACACACACACACACACACACACACCATTTTTTACACCGCAATATTTTTTACTCTGAAACCCAAAACGCAGTTGGATAAAGAGAAAGATGTGAAGGATTTTTATTTTGTGAAAAGAGAAGTTACGTTCCATATATCGTAGTACAGAATATCTCTATTTTACGACACTGCAAAAAAAAAAGGTAAAATTTCTTATATTTATATTAATATATCAATTTTGTTATGACAGATGAACTAGAAGGTAAGAAATAGTAGACTATGGCGTTATATTTCACATGATGACCATAAACCTACCCTAACCTAACCTAACCTACCCTAACCTAACCTGGACCTACCCTAACCTACTCTAACCCGACCTACCACCAACCTAACCTGACCCACCCTAACCCAACCTGACCCACCCTAACCTAACCTGACCCACCCTAACCCAACCTGACCCTACTCCTAACCCAACTCTAATGCAACCTGACCTACCCTAACCCAACCTGACCTACCCTAACCCGACCTCCACCCAACCCAACTCCTGACCTACCCTAACCCAACCTGACCCACCCTAACCTAACCTACCCTACCCTAACCTAACCTGACCTACTCTAACCTGACCTACCCTAACCTAACCTGACCTACCCTAACCTAACCTGACCTACCCTAACCTACCCTAACCTGACCTACCCTAACCTACCCTAACCTAACCTACCCTAACCTGACCCAAAATATGTACTATATACCACGTGCAGTCCTTCACCTTCTCGAGTTATACTGCAGATATACTGAATATCTTGTAGACATATACACTGTAGATATACTGAATATCCTGCAGACATACACACTACACATATACATGATACATACAGTATTTCAATCTATCATTTGCTGAACCAGACGAAACCAAATCCATGCAGGTAATTTATATACTTTTAAAAATACAATAAAAATATATAAATTCCTTTCTAGAGTGTCAATTAAACTAAGCCAAGAGAAAAAAAAGTTGCAAAATATATTCACCAAATTATATAAGATGGTGATTTTGAGGCCATTGGTATGCTCGTCATTTATTACGTCTCACTCATCCGTCACCTGTCATCCGTCACCTCTCATCCCTTACCTCTCACCCTTACCTCTCATCCGTCACCTCTCATCCGTCACCTCTCATCCCTTACCTCTCATCCCTTACCCCTCACCTCTCATCCCTTACCCCTCACCTCTCATCCCTTACCACTCACCTCTCACCTCTCACCTCTCACCCCTCATCTCTCACCTCAAAAATACAAGACGTAGACGACTCCATAACCTGTAGTCTGAATCCCTCGAGCTTCAGAGGGATGAACTGAACACTACGGCAATCTTGAGGTTCTGGGCGTGTGTGTGTGTGTGTGTGTGTGTGTGTGTGTGTGTGTGTGTGAAGGAAGAGCACTGTAGACATTTGTTTCTGAATTTTAGTGTATGTGTATTTTTATTTCCTTAATTAATCTTGTATAAAATTCAATCATAACAACAACAATAACATTCCATCATAACAATCATAACAACAACAATAACACTCCATCATAACAACAATAACACTCCATCATAACAACAATAACTACTTTTAACATGGAGACGAAAAATGTTATCACTGACTCCATCCATTACAGTGAATAAAAGAAATCTAACAAGTCAAAGTGTAATATTCTACCTAATTTATACGCTCACTAATTTTTACCAAATAAAACAAATATCAGCATTGGCCAAGAACAAAAAAAAAAGAAGAAGAAATAATGTAAGCACTAATAATCTTTCATGGGAATAAAGTTAAGCAAGGAATCACTAAAGTTAAAATCCACCTAGTACAAAAAAAAAAAAAAATCTAAAATGAAGCATTACGAAATAAAAACAAAAATGAAGAAAAATGAAGAATTGGATGAAAAAAGTAGATGACTTTATCTTTGACGTGATAATAATAGTTAGGTTATTGTTTGTGTGTGTGTGTGTGTGTGTGTGTGTGTGTGTGTGTGTGTGTGTGTGTGTGTGTGTGTGTGTGTGTGTGTGTGTGTGTGTGTGTGTGTGTGTGTGTGTGTGTTTCTATCCTGTGATTTCTTGTTCGGTTGTCTCTCTCTCTGTCTCTCTCTCCTTGTTTCTCTCTCCTGCCTGTCTGTCTCTCTCGTAATAAATCAACTATATTGTAATAACCAGATCAGAGTGAGGCATAACTCTATCTTCCTCCAAACACACACACACACACACACACCTGAAAATTAATATACAAATATGTGGTCTCGAAAGAGTCTCGACCAAAAATCCGAGATCAAAGCTGTCTGAGAGAGAGAGAGAGCTCAATGTG